CTAATTAAGGCTTCAAACAACAGTGCTGGACTTCTAGTACACAGATCACGCATCAGATGAACAACTTGATTCAAAGAAAATAAAGGGACTCAAACTGGGTGGGAGGCATAGGCATAACTCTGGAATTGAGACCACAAATCAGATCAGCCATAATCTTATCAAATGGCAGAGAAGACCTGAGGGCCAGAATAGATTGCTCCTGTTTCTAATTCTTTTGTAGATTTTATCAACAGTCGAGAAGTGAAAGTATAACATATTTGTTCTATTTTTAACACCAAAACCAGTAAGCCAAGTGGTGGGGAAGGATTATGTTCAGTAAGTAAAACAACAAATCAGTTAAATCAATACAGAATTTACCAACATTACATTTGGCAGTGGTCTACAGCTGAACAATTCTGGTCTTCTAGGCAACAAGGTGTAGAGCTGGATGAACACAGTAGGCCAAGCAGCATCAGAGGAGTAGGAAAGCTGACGTTTCGGGCCTAGACCCTTCTTCAGAAATTAAGAAGATGTAGGGTGTGTTGTGTTTCATATAGAAAGGATAAGAGGAGTTTGGAGTCAAGTTTCTAGGTACATTTCTGATTCTTCTGCATGTTTTATAGATGTCTGCTATCTCAAACACTTTATTTTAAGACATTTATAATGGAATAGGTGAAGACCCACTCAGAGGCTTCTTATTTTTGATAGAATCTGGTTGGGTAGTAATCTTTGGCTGGAATGTGACTGTAAAAAAATTGTAAGTGCTAAGGCGTTTTACATAATGTAATCAGCAATTAACATAAATCGAAGATAATTCAAATGGAATGTTGAAAATGAAGGGAAGCAAAATACATAATGGAAAAAAGGAAAACTTACAGATGATACAGATTATGAAATAGTGCTCAGAGCACTGATACTAATCAACAAAAAGAAGCAATTTTAATATGAAAAACTGTCTGACAAAAATGACATTTTAATGAGAAAATACACATTTCAGCAAATGAAGCATACAGGTTTTTCTGTTTGGATGGCAAACATGTAAAATTTACCCACAACCAGATTTTGTCATGTTGCAACTTCCCTTGTATTGCACACATATTGAAGATTATGTTTGAGTTTTGCTGAAAAAGAGACATACTGCTGAAGCTTGGTGTCTTGCACTCATCAGGAGAAATGCAAAGCTATCAAGTTTTAACGGAAAGAGTAAACATGTACTGCAAGCACAAAAGGATGCTGAATCATTGGGAAGTGGAGTCTGGTTGGTCAAAGTGCTGACAAGGAGAATGCACCAGGAACAATTATCCCCCAAGCTTTTGTTTAAATTCAAGAAGGGCTAATCAGCCCTGGTTCATTGAAGCACAGCCATGGGGAACCCATGAGGGAATAGATAATGGTGCAATGGCTGGACATGTTCTTTCTGTTTGCATATGAATTTATATAGCTTCCAAACAGCACAAATGAGCCACAATGTGAGCCTGACAGATAATGTTAAATTAATCTTGATGATGCAAGACACAGAGCTTTGATAGCACGTTTTTTTTGATAAAATTCAATTCTGTACAACTAACAGTTTTATATTTGTTAACTATCGACTCCAAACTAACCCTTAAATGTAGAATGCCATTGGGTTCAATGTGCAACAAGAAAAAATATTTTTCAAATAATTGTATTACTTCAAGAATGAATGGGAATCTCTATTAGTGCAAGTTTGGAATCTATGTCATTTTTTTATCTCTGCAATTGCTAATGCAGACATTGTTCATCCAAGTGGGTCAGTTTGATCTCATTATTCCCTTTAAATTCCGCCGCCAAAAATATCTTTTGCCACAACTACCTGCAGAGTATATTTTGTGGCCTGTTCTCTGACTGCAAACCTCTTAATTAAAACCTTACTCAAAACGGACCTAGCGACTTATGGCGTATAAAATAATATAGTTCAAATATGCATAATGTCAGTCTGCAGAAACTGCAACTGCATTTAAAATAAACATTATCTCCGCTTATCCATTCCTTTAAGACGATTTGATTAATGAATTTTCAGTAAATTCACACTTCACCTTTGATAGGAGATGGTACATGTGTCAACATGTTCTCCTCTGAGTGTAAGAAGTTCCCATCCTGACTCTTCGAAGTGCAAGTTTCCTGATGTGGCCTGGTCTTTTTGCTGGTCACAATGCACGGATGAACATCCAAAGACAAGTGCCGACTGTGCTTTTTCTCACTATTAATAGTTGTGTTCCCTTCGCTTTTACTGGAAGATGAATCTTGAAAATATTTCGAAGTCGAGTCCAGGAGAGGAGCGGCGAGACCGTCCGTCGCTGTTTTTCGCCTTGCGGGTTTGGGTTTCTCCCCCTTGTTGTTTTCCAACTTGAAGGCACTGGAGGGCTCTCTGAAAGGCTGGTGCAGTGGGTTGGTGGTTGGGATCCATTTCATTTTCTTCCGGGGCCTCTTTATGATGAGCTGCTCGTTGCTGTCGATGTCTGCGGGGTCCACACTGGGGTCAATGGTTTGGATGCCGGCATCGCGCATGGTGGGAGTGACATCGTGGTTGGATTGGGCCAGAGCGGCCAGCAGCTGGCGCACCACGTTGTCGTACATCAGGTCACTCTCGTTGGTGATGAAGTCCAAACGGTTCAGCGACTTGATGTGGTCGCGGTTTTCGTTGCAGAACAGGGCGAGGATGTTGATGTCGCAGAATTGCGACTTCTGCCACTGCTTCTTTGTCTTGATGCCGACCTTGTGAAGCTTGTCGAAGATGAAGTTGGACTTCCTGACGATGAAAAGGTGGATGAGGTTGATCAGAATGATCAGGTTGATGAAGCACAGCAGCACAATGTCCACGATGGCGATGATGCGCTGCATTTGCACCGAAGGCAGCTTGCAATTGACATGGACATGGAGTGCCTCACTGCTGGACAGGTCAGGGGGCTCTCCCAAAGGGCAAGTGAATTCGTTCTGTTTCTGGTTGGCGTAGTACGTGCACAGGTAACTGATTGGGATGATACTGAGGAACACCACCGACAGCTGCCGCGACAGGTAGAGCCTGGCCAAGAAGTTACTCTGGCCTCGCCGCTCCAGGTATTTCTCGAACAGGTTCTGCTCCGGGCTTTTCTCCTTCTCCGCGTTCTCAATGATCTCCCTTTTCTCCTTCTCCGTGATGCCCGCCCCTTTCGATTGGATCTGCTTCTCGATTTTGGGAGCCCTCCCCTCCGCGGCGCGGTGGTAGCAGTTGTCTATCTCCTGAAGCAGGAAGTTGAGCTCCGAGGTCAGTCTGGTGGAGGCCAGGAACTCCCAGCCCAGGGCTGGGATATACATGATACCGGCGAAGGCGAGCAGCGCGTATGGGAGGAACTTGTGCTCAAACAGGGATGGCCGCTGACTCGGCTCCACACCCGGCACAGCATCTCTCAGCTCGGTCCAGCAGTATCCTCTGGCGTATAACGCCTGGTCACGGGTGAAATTGTTGGGCGTATAACAGTATATCGACTCTTCTGTATAACAGAGAGAAAAGTCACGGTTGTTTTTTTTTTAAATCCTGTCAATGGTGCTCTGTAAATTAAACATTTTAAATAACTCCATCAATTGTATTACATTTCATTTTCCAAATGTTGACATCTGCCTTGAAGTCCCAATCCTTAATTTGTTCTACTCAATTCCGTCAATCACACACATCTCGTTTCCCTTCTGTTGCATTCCTGCCAGGTTTTACTGTTTTGAATTGTCTTAAGGAAGCACGTAAACCTAATCTTCTGAAAAAGAACTTTTTTCCTCTCTATTCGAAACTGCATAAATACCAAATTATGTCTTGGGGCAACTCGTGAATCCTAGTTGGCTTTGATTGTGGGGAAGGTGCTGATAGTTCTGACAGTGTAGGTGATATTTACAACATCTACTGATCCTGCTGAGTTTTTGGGCCACATTAGGGTAGCTTCATGGATGGGCAGGCAGTGCATATGTAGGTGCCACTGGTTTTCTGACACCACCCTAGCATTGTGGCTGGGAGTGAGGGTGATGCAGGGTTACCCTCCTGAAAGTGTTGGAGAGAGAGTGCAGCACCATTGATCTCATTAAAGGCCTTGTCTCAGAGACTGACTCAAATATTCCAGTTAGCCTCCAGGTCCCTGGACGTGTCTGGGGAAGAGTTCAGATGCCAGGAGGAGGTGACATCCTGATGCCAGTGTGGGAACTAGCCCTCCAGACAGGCTATAGACACTGCCAGGGCTGAGTGGCAGCCATCAACCACCCTTTGCAGGGCATTGCTGTCTCCCTTTCCCAAACAATGGTAGCCTGACTCCTGAGGACATTTGTTAAATTTAAAGTGTTGGAGAGAGAGTGCAGCACCATCTTGGAGTACATTCTCTCTCGCTTACCTGGAAAGGCAAGTATTGGCTTTGTAAATACTGGGGGGATTCCTGTTGATCTCCCAACTTCAAGAGCCTATGAACCATCTGGATGGTAAGTCCAGCCTCTAGGCACAAATTGACCAAGAAAATCACCATGTAAGCTCCTGACCCCTATTTGACCATGACAGCAGTTTCCAGAGCCCTAGAACAGAGAGAATGTAGCACAGTGGTCAAGTTTCTGATTGTAACCTCTCCTCTGAAGAATAACTAATGTTAAAAAATTATTTATGAATAACTTCTTCAATTGTTGGGGAAATGTGATGGTCTTTTAACACTACAGCTATGCAAATTTCAATATTTAATCTTAGTCTCTACATTTCACTCGTACAAAATTTCACAAGTGGTTATGAAATATTCTTATTCAACAACTATGCAATGCTTCAACTGATTTTCACTGTAGCTTACAGGAGGCAGACTGCTGTAGTACAAAGTGACCCATAGTTATAGCTAGTACATTTTCCAGAGTTAAGATACTTTTTAATGAGGCTAAATTTAAATTAAGCTAGCGACAACCTGGAAAGCCTCCAGTTGATTGTCAGCAGGATATTTAAATTAGAGTTCAGGCGCAAAGAGGCTCCTACTCTGGAGGCAGCAAGACTTAGACTTCTTCTGGGGAAAAAGAAACAGATGTAATGAAAAATGGTCACCTAACTTTCGCGCCTAAGCTCCAAACCAACCTTATAAAGACCGCAGGAGATCTCTCTGCATGCATCAGTCATAGAATTTAACATCATGGTTATGCTTAAACAAAATTATTTTAAATTAGCCGATCTGCATAGTTTTGAATCCTCTTCAGAGATTGGTTTGAAGCAAGAAAATAATCACAACTATATCAGTTAGAAACTTCAACATTCAGATTACAAATTTACTAGAACTGTATGATATTCAATTGTCAATAGTACCTAGCTTGAGTGTTAGTTCAGTATTTGACTGTACCGTAAGAAGTGTAATAAACTGACTTGAATGGCAGGATGCTTTGCTTTTGGCATTGTAGTGTCATTTAATCTTGAAATTATTTTTTAACCTGGGCCATTTGAGATTTGATGAACTTCATGCCTCATTATTTCCTTATGTTGCAAGAGCCAATGTTTGTACAGTGCATATTGAATTCAACTTTTTAAATAAAAATAAATAATGATAAGCCACCAGTAATACCTGGCTGCAAATTTTGTGAGTGTTCAAGTCAATGGTTATTTTCATTCCATCGGGATGATGCAAGTACTATTACTAACGAAAAGAAAAGTAGGAATACATGGTTTACGTGCCACCAAATAAAGTTAATATTGTGAACCATGTTTTCATGCAATTTAATATTTGAATGAATTTTATAAAATCCAATCCTATGTGTTGGAAATGAAAGCTACATAATGGAATTGTCTAATGATTTTTAACATGTAGTTTCAGTTACTTGTGGTGAGCAGTGCATTCAGATGACTTTTTTTGCTTCTTTCAGAGGGTTTCAGCTTCACTGGCCAGGCAACATTTATTACCTAATTGCTGTGGATCTGGAGTTATATTGGGCCCCACCAGGCAAGGTCAGCTGATTTCTTTTCCAAATTTCAATGAACCAGTTGGGTGTTCGCATCATTCAAGACCCCAAAAGTGGAGACTAGTATATTCCAGATTTATTTATTTAATTCAAATTCCACTGGCTATCATAGTGGGATTTCAACACATCTGGATCACTAGTCCATTTTGACATTGTAGTCCATTTAACGCTGCAGCACCACCTCCCTGCCTGAGCTACCAAAAGACATGTAGTAAAATGAGCCATTAAGAAAGAACCATTTGGCACAAATTGAATCAGTTTTTATTCTCTCATTAATAAAGTCTTGGTTTAGGCTAACTTATCCTAAGTCTATTTATTCCAGGTTTTATCAGAGGATAACTGACATTGTATAAACAAATTAGTGGACATAGGATTTGTGCTAATGTGGTTCATTCACAATTAAGAAGGACAACCGAGCACTATGAAGCAAAGTTGCACAGTTCCATTATAATGTGTCGCACAATGTTAGGATGAACATTCGTTATTTATTTGTGTAAATTATTGATCTCAGCATTAACATTCTGAGAGACCAGTCATTTTCACTTGAGGAGTAGATGAGGCAATGGCCTAGTGGTATTTTTGCTAGACCATTAATCCGGAAACTCAGCTAATATTCTGGGGAGCTGGGTTTGAATGCCACCACGGCAGTTAGTGTTTAGGTCAATAAAAATGATCTGGAATTAAGAACCTACTGATGAATATGAGCCATCGTCAGTTTTTAGAAAAACCCATCTGGCTCATTGATGTCCTTCAGGGAAGGAAATCTGCC